AACCCCCCCCCCCCACCCAAAAAAAAATAGAATTACAGAATTGGTCAATGACAGAACTAAATCTACTGTTAGTTAATAATGCTGTATGTGTCAAGTACCTGTAAATTCTGTTTGTTCTATATCTCTCGTCAAAAGACTTAACAGTGATACATAAATATAATCTTTGTATAAAAAGGTAAACAATAATAAGACCCTCTAACTTTTGTTTTAACTTAGAATGATTAAAATTTATAATGTACAAACCCAGGACCATAGAATATATAAAAATATTGTCTCTAGGACAAGAGACAAATGTTTAAAACAGTCAAAACCAAAGCCAGTACTGCGCATGATTCCTAAACAATACATTCTCATTCACATAACTTACATCTCAAAGACTCCTGACCTATTTTTAGTTTTGCAAGAGGCAAGTTGAAAGTGACAAATCAGTACACATATGCGACAAAAAAACTGGCCCTATTAACACTGACTACACTACAACTTACATGTAACATACTAGTATTACACTCATTATGTTTATTTCTTAATCAGAGCTGTCACGTTTAATTAATTTAATGGAACACAAAATAAAACTCTTGTTACATAAAAAATGAAATGAACTTGTCATTGGAAAAATGAACCAAATCATATCATCACTCTCCTCCACTTGCAAGCACACATTAAAAAAACAACCTGTATAACTTTGGAGCTGCCTCCAAAATCTCTGAAGGTCACAGATGGCTTTCTTGCCTCGACATCTTTCCACTTCTTCTTCTTCTTCGGAGCTGCAACTGCGCTTGATGTTGGTACACATGGGTGCATAGGTACAGTCTTGGGTTGCACATTATTCTAAACAAAAAGAAACAAACAAAATTCATCTAGAAAAGTAAAATTCCATTACAGCAGAATACAAAATCATAATGACCACTAAGTCTACTACAGCTGCAATACAAACTCTACAAATAATGCAGATGCCACTCCCACCTGCTTTTGTTTGAGAATTTACATCTTTATCCATCATTAATGTTCATTTATTCCAAATACAAATTTATTGTTACAAAGGCTTAGAAACAGCACAACTATCAATATACACAGAAATATAAACTATTTTCCTTTGTATTTCAGGTAAACATATACCACATATAAGAATATTTCAAAGCAAATTTATAGTTATTAAAAAACACAGCAATTCAAAAAGTCCCTGTGCATCTGCAAGAAATGGAAATGGGAAGTGAATCAAAGTGTGTGTGCAATGCATTTTCAAAAATTTGATGAAGTAGGATTAGAGCTTCATGTGAACTGAGATCATATGAACAAATTAAATTCACATGAGAACTTCCTGCACAGACCTCAGTAAGAAATTTAAATAAAATCTGTCAGTTCCTCAGAAGAAATGTAAGGATGCATTTCTCTTCATAATGCATTAATAGCATGGCTTTTGTGCAAAGAATACTTAAAGTGCACCAGACAATTCCATGCATTTATTACTTTAATGCTTCAAGTTTTGCCTACAGCTCCTTAAGCAACAGCAGAAATAATTAGACTATCTTCTGCCTACACGGGATAACAGAAAGAAAATATAAGCAAACATCTATAACATGAGTATGATCCAAATTATCTGAGCAGTAGAAGAATGCACATGCACTAATTGATCAGACACCAAGATCAACATTTAAATATTCAATGCAAATGAAAATCTGATGAGTCATGCAGATTTAAATTCTTCTCTTTCCACCGTCATTACAATGATTATTTCATATTTACATATGTAACATTACAACTTACTTTGGGAGGGACTAGACCTGGAATATTTGCCTTATCAGCGGTTACAGCGCCATTCTGTGATTTTTGTACAGATGAATCACCATATTCATTCTTGGACATGTCATCATCACTGCTAATGTTTATCAATTCTTTCTCGCCTTCATCACTTCCAGACCGCTTTCTGTTAGAAGATTAGTGCAAACATAAACAATTAATCAAATAAATTTACTCCTCTGAACTTTCTCTTTTCTTGATTCATTGGTACCTTACAACAAACAATAACTTCTAAGTATGTAAGATTTGAGGTTTTCACAGCAGTGAGTATGAAGATTCCTGTCTTCTGGGTTGTTGCGCTGTGTAGTCTGGTCGATATTAACCAACGTTTCAGAGGTCATACTGCCTCCATCATCAGGGCGATGAATATGCCAATAGGGTATGTGGGGCTAGGTTTATAGGTGCCGGAATGTGAATGGAGTAGACTGCCCTGAGCCAATGGGGGCAGGCGTTGGAGTGGACCAATAGGAGCGCGTGGGTGTGAGAGAGGGAGAGGGGGCAGGCTCGGGAAGTGCGTCCGGTGGGACATCGACCAGATTACACAGCGCAACAACCCAGAAGACAGAAATCTTCAATAACTTCTAAGTTTGAGAAGAAGGTTTTAATTTGTATGATCAAATATTAAGTGCTGATTGTGGGCCTGAGTAACGATGCCACGTGGTCATGTTATGATTACAGTTTTGGAAAAATACTGATAACTACCCAAGAGAAATTCTGGTAACCACCTACATCACCAAATAATGATCTCAGAAAACCACAATCAACATCTTGACTGCTATAAGAATCTCAAATCTCTGACAAATGTTAATGTCCAAACCAAAACATTCAACTGTTTTTATCCATTAAGTTGTATAAAGTATACTCACATGCTGCACTCTGCAGCATTGCCACATCTCTAATGTAAATAAATTAAAATTGAAAGGTAATATTACCTCTTGTTTTGATGTCCTGATTGTCGCATATATACAGCAATCATCTGATCATTTGGTCTGTTATATTCCTACAAAAAAAATTCAGTACTATTAAATCAACCATATTTTCATCACATTTAACCACATGGTTAATCAAATTTTGACTAAGATATAAGTAAATTGGGGAGCATGACAAGTGGGAGAAACAGAGAGCAGACAAATCACTCTCCCAATGTAATTTCGCACTCTTCCTTCCAATTCATTGGCTGTAGTATTGAAAACAGGAACTAGGAAACATCCTAAGGACCTTCCATAGTGAACTGAAAGCAATGATATCAAAAATAAAAGGCCATAACATATTAATGAATTTGAAGAGTGATGTTTAATTTCTGCATAAACTCAAGGTTCATCAAGGTTCAATACTCTGGTCCTCTCTTTCATTATTATATATCTATGATTTACCTCCAACCACTAATTCTCAGTCAAAATCCATACTTTTTGTGGACGATACTAATATTATTATTTCACATCCAGAAACTGTTTCCAAACTTGCATGAATGATGTATTTGCTAGCTTGAACAAATGGATTAAAGCCGATACAATCACATTAAATTTTTATAAAACAAAGTACATGAGATTTTGTACTACTAGCAAAAATTGTGTATCTCGGTATAGGGTACGAGGATAAAACAACTGAAGAAGTAGAAACAATTATATTTCTTGGCCCAGAAACTGACATATTCAATACATTATCCATAAACTAAGCTCAGCATGCTTTGCTATGAGGACTGTCACAACACTCATGAAAACAGAAACTTTAAAATTAGTCTACTTTGCTTATTTCCTTTTGACCATGTCATATGGAATTATTTTCTTGAAAAACATAACAGACAGAAAAAAAAACTTCCATTCAAAAGAAAATCATTAGAATAATGGGAGGCACTAAAAAAAGAGCCTGATGTAGGGAATTGTTCTAGAAATTTAATATTCTTCCACTAGCCAGCAATTTTTTCTATCATTATCATCATTTGTAGTGGACAACACAGAAAAATTTCAAACAAACTCAGATATCCACAACATAAGGACAAGATACAGATATAACCTCCATATGCCATACACTAAACATCAAAAAGAGTTAACATTAACTGGAATTAAGCAATTTGATAATCTTCCCCCCACTATAAGAAGTTTGAATCACAATACAAAGAAGTTTAAAGCAGCACTAAAGAATATCTCCTATCTCACTCCTACTCCACAGAAGAATGTACCTCAACCAAACATTCTCAGCTATTATAAATATGTGTAAGCAATAATGGGTGTGCTTTCTTGCGCAATTATTTTTCTGGTAAAACTATAGTTGACTTCAAATTACTGTCATAAAGTAAAGCTGTCCCGCTGTACGCCATGTAGGCACTTGTGGGAAGAGGTGATATAGCTCCTACTCACTCTTAACCTCTGCAGGGTGAGTGGTCAGCATCAAACCCCGGGCATGCTTTACCCCCAGGAAAGGACCCCGGTACCTACTGGATAGGAGGCTGGGTGGGCCACAGAGCCGGTCTGGATGCTGAGAATCACTGTCATAAATATGTAATTTATATTTGTATTGTGTGTTTATTACTTTTTCACATCATTCTTAATGGAGAATTTATTAGTCTGATATAACAACATTGTAAGAATGTATTGACAAAAATGAGATAAAGAAATATAATTTCAAATGTGCCCAGAAGCTCTTTAAGGATACAAGAGAAATGTAAGCTTGCCAAGTGGTTTGGAGCATAGATGTGCAAATTTCAATTTTCTATCTACAAAACACAGCTCCTTCTTTATTTTCTTAAATTATATAATTTTTAAATCCATTTAGTAAGACAACATACCATCTCATCCAGGTCTCCATCTCTATCTGATGCTGACGAAATATCGCTCATATCAGATGTCACTCCCCAGTCGCTAACATCCGATGTCATTCCCCAGGTTTGATAAACTAGATTAAAAGCTGAAATAATGTGAAATAATGGTACATTTAACAGTGGTATTAACAGATAACCTTTAAAAAATATTTTTACAACTTACAGGTGAAACAGAACATGGCAGTACTTAGAAAAATACCAAATAACCATAACATTGCCATAGAATCTGGCCAACAGACTCCTGACATATCAAGATCCAAATCTTATGTCCATTTTCTCTTGCTTAGAGTGCTCCAAATAATCTCTCAATTTCATGAAGTGGACTACAGTAGAAATTATGCAAGAAAGTGAGTCTTTAAATTATATAATACAATTAACAGCATGTACTGATATTTTGAGTAGACACTATTACATTCTCATAACATTCTGTTTTATACAGAATGCCGGATTGGGAATAATAAATATTTTGTAAAAGTGAGTATGTTATTTCATGCTCCAGTCTAAACAGCTGTACTACATACTTATCATTCAGACAAAAATATTATGATAAGTTTGTTTCCAAGTCCTATGAAGAAAATAGTTTTACTCATACAAAGTGTAGTAATACTGTGTTTATTAATCCAATCAAATTGTACTAAAATGCAACTAACAATAAGTATTGAAGTATGGGTTGTGACTATTTGATCATCTGTATTACTGACCCACACTTTTCATATATGTTCTTCCATGTATATGCAAGTATGTATATGATTTTATTATTACATACTGTCATATATAGATATTTATTTGTATGAAAGATGATTTTACTTCTCATACTCACCATTACGTACACCTTGTTTAAAAGGACCTCGTTTTCTTCTGGCATACTCAGCGTATAATTCTCGAAGTTCATCAACCATCTCATCAACATTAACATCAGTGCCCGAGTAATTATGTTCCTCCATATACTATTAAGGAAAAGAAAGTATCTAATTTATTCCATTCATATTATCTGTTTAATGCTCTGAAATATGTTAATTACCATCATGACTAAAGATAGTGGTCTTCTGGATTTTTGCAACATACAGCCAAAATACTGACATAGTAACCCAGATCATAATCAATATTTACATTCAAATTCTACATCACTGTGACTGCTTTCTAAAACACAGAAGAACAGGATATATTAAACACCTGTTCTGAATAGCTATGAAACACAGTTTTACTTTGAGGGAAGAAAATAAATTATAAGTGATATCTGAAGTACTAATGGTCACAAGTATGAAAATGGATGTCTTCCAGAATCTAGCAGCATGTAGTCTGATAGGTATTCATAAATTACAGGTGTCTGGAAATCTTTGGACCTAAGAATCAAACAATTTAAACTGTGCTATAGTAAGTGACTTTCACAATTCATACAGGTTGAATTAGTGTAACAGTTAGTCATAATGGGCAGAGTATGGAGCACATGTAATGTGGAAGAGAAAGATAGAAAAGAAATTAAACATTCTGGTGGGCCTAAAAGGTTATAAATGATGCAAGTAGTGTTATCTAAAACACAGAATAAAATTTAAACTTCCATGGTGATGGAATCTTCGGAGTAGAATATGGATATAAATAACCTCCTTTTATGTGAACTGTACAACACAATAATTAATGTGATGAATTGACGACGTAACCAAATATCCATTGCCTGTCTCGGGCACTTAACCCAAACCATGGTAATAATGAAATACCTATGCAACCAAGAATTTCGAGTTGTTTACCTTTTTTATGCGTGGTATTATCAACGGGTCTGTCACATACGGCACTCTTCTCGGTTGAAAATGTTTTTTAAATTTTTCTTTTGATGATCCTGGTCTGTTTGAGGTTTGAGATCTATTCGGTTTAATGCTTTCCATCGTGCTATCGGACGTGGAAGAGAAACTTGTCACCGTCGTACTCTTTACCGATTCACAACTAAAACCTTGGTGTATTTAAACTATTTTGTATCTACTAATGTGTGAATTATTATAAATATTACGAAAATAAAACACTAACACAAAACAACGCCCTTCGACTGAAAGTGCAAACACATTCACTTATCACGGACTACGAACATAACATGGAAACGTATCCGTGACGTTGATTGTGCTGTCATCTTTCAATGCCGACGGATTAAAAATGTGACCGGCATCAAATGTCGGTAACACGAGGTCTGACACAAAAATAACGAGACTGATGCTGCAACTACGTAACCAATAATAGTGAGGGCGAAATAAACAGATCATATTTGGCCTTTACCTTTACCTTTACCTGTAATGCAAGTTTCAACTTGATCACTTCACTCAATAGCGGTGGATGTTTTTTAAAAGGCGGGGAAAGCGTGGAAGATGAGCGCCCAGGTCGTTCGCGCGTATCATTTGCCGAAAACAACATTGAAAAAGTTCGAATTGTGATTCGATAAGACCGTAGGTTAGATGTTCGAGCAGTAGCTGGGATAGTTAATTTCGATAGGGAAAGTTTTTGACGCATTTTAACCAAAGAATTTAACATGAAAAAGGTTTGCGCAAAAAATGGTTCCTGAAATTGTCAGCTGAACAAATGGAAGTTCGAAAAGAAATTTGTTCTGACCTCTTGCAACGTATTGAGGACGAACAGGTTTTATTGAAATCGGTAAATACTTATGAGACTTCGATATTTGAGTATTGTCCGCAAATTATGCGACAGTCCATGCACTGGAAGTCACAACCCTCTCCAAGAGCTTAAAAAGGTTGCATGGGCCTTTCAAAGTCCAAAGCCATGTTAACTGTTTTGATATTAAGGGTGATAGCAGAGTTTGTTTCCAGCTGCCAGACGGTAAATCAGCAATATTACATCAAAATCTTGACAAAACTGTACCGAGTGAGAAGTAAACAGCCAGAGTTGTGGAAAAATGGGTTGATTTTACACCAGCCCATACAGCTTTCCTGAAGCAGTTTTTAACCAATAAGAACATAACTGTGTTTGACCACACCTCTTATTCACCAGACCTGGCTCCCTGCGACTTCTTTCTCTTCCCCAAGATCAAATCTGTGCTCAAAGGACCAATTTTGAGGTAGAAACAGCGAAGGCAAGAAACAGTGGCAGCATTGTATGCAGCTGTCAACTCCGAAGGGGGTTCTCCAGCTTGAGTGTTGGGCAGGGAAGCCATTAACCCACATAACAGTAAAATATCATGTTACAAAATGTTACACAAAGCCTTGGACTTGGACATCAGGAAGGACTGGAACTTTTTTCGAGGCATAGCTCATGGTATGCTGGTGATGTCAATTTATGAAGCATATAATACATACCAGAAAGAAAATCACTGCAGGTCTAACAGAAACAAGTAAACAGGCTGGTCCACAAACACACCAAAAACAAAGTATGCATTTTATGTCTTATTACCAGAATTCAGGAGAAAATCATAATACTGTCTTAAGATAGGTTAAAAAACCCTTCACTATGTGGTAAAGACCATACATTTTCCTCACATATGAAGAAAATTTACATATTTAAAGAAATACATTTTTCCTTAAATGTTTTATTCTGTTAAAAACTTGTTACTTTGCATTTCAGTACAATTAAGAATACTTGAAGATACACATTTATTAGGTATCTCACTATTATGGAGTTCCCATTCCATCATGATAGAGAATTTATAAAATGATTGTTACCTGAAGCATTATGTACATTTTTAATGCAGTCTTGTGAACATATCCTCATATTTTCTTCCCTGTAGAAGTCCAGTTTATTCACATGTTCTGACAAATTTTGTGTAAAGGACAGAGTACAACTGCATAAAAGATAGGCATATTTTAAAAAAACTTTTGTAACATATGGAAGAAAACTTGCACATCCCTAACATAATGTAGCTAGTGCGAGGACTGATAGCACCACAATATACTGACTACTATTTTAATTAAATATTCATCAATGTATATTATAGTGATCTCCCTGGATACCAACAAGGAATGGTTCTCCAGCTTAGTGTGAAGTATATAACCATAAATAAGGTACTCATAATTGTCAGGAATAACAGCACCTTTTGCCACTTACAGCAAACACCAGTAAATGCATCTAATTTAAAGTGGTTTTCACTCCATTGTATAACCTCCATTTTATCATCATACATTTTAATTTGCAAAGATTACCTCTCAATTGTAATTTAATCTTATTTGTCCTTTTATTACTCATTGTTAAGAATGTTGCAACACTTTTAATGCAACCCACCATACCATATAAGAGATGACTTATCATTACATCATTACTGATAACAGCTATCATACTGCTTTAAAATGGTAGTTGTACCATTTGTTTTACTTTTTATTTCAATAACAAATAATTTAACTGCAATAAACTGTCATCAGCAATTTGTCTTGTTTTTGATATTCAGCTCACATTTATGTCATGGTTCCAAATACTGGATTGTGCCGACATATACTGGGACCATACTCTTCATAAGCCGCTTTTGTGTGACACACCTGGTAAAATTCAGGCTGAAAAATACACAAATGAATTATTAGTTTTATTTTCATGATGCATGTTCACAGTCCTATTTTATTTTTAATTTATTAGAAACATATCATTTTGTTGCTGTGACTTGTGCCTCGAAGTATGGTCTGTAACAATGCAGACATCCACATTTTTCAGCTGAAAACACCAGCATGGTGTGATTTCCATTTTGCACCTGATGACATAATGATAGTAGAGACAAAGAAAAGACCTATAGCTTAATATGAAAATCAAACCTTGATGGGTTTGGCATACCACAATATCTGCACCGTATCAGACCACAAAAAAAATTATAATTTTCTGAACACAAGGCCAACACCTTATCTGTAGACCACCAGGTACCAATGAATCAAAGTAGCATAGCAAACAGAAAACTTCAATCAATGCTACATAAACAACCATCCACTAGGAAGCAACCAAGTATGAAATGATGAATTAAAAAACCCACCTACAAATTAAATAAGTGGAATGAAATATCGATGAAAGAAACTGTGTATAACTTGCATTTTTCCTAACACAATAAAATCACTTCTAAACAGAAAATATTTCTAAGAGACTGACTGGACAATATGTGCATGGGCTGTTAGATAACCAAGCCTTTCCATCTAACTTTGTTTTCCCATAACTACTACTAATGCATCCTTCCCTTTTGGTGACATCTTTCCTAATCTGCTGTTCCCATCTTGATCTTGGGCTCCCTCTTTGATGCTTACCTTTCAATTCACCAAATTACAATTTATATTTATGTTAATCTGTCACAATTTCGATAAATGTCTGCTTACCGTGGATGCAAGCATGCTGCCTCCAAACCACACAGCATATCGCTGCATGTGATGAGAGATGACCTGGACCTCAATAGGTTTTGGCTGTGACAGAAAAAAAAGTGTTTTATCAAAAGAAATGCATAAGCTTCTAAATGCAACCAGAGAAAACAATGCAATGTCATAAATTCATCTAATACTAAGTTCAGTTATATGTTAAACACAGCAAAGGTAAAGGATTAATGAAGAAGTAGGAATTCATACAATTATTTAAAAGAACAGAACTGAAGGTAATATTTCTTTTACATGCAAAATGGATAATACACACCAATATAACAGTCACTGTCTATTTTAAGGAACAGAAACAGAGTTTAATAATATCTGTTTTGTATCGTCTTAATACACATACATTTCCAACAAAGGGCAGAGAAAATGCAAACACTCAACTGTTAAATCTAAAACCAAACTATCACATACTCTAAAATATGATATCAGTATTTTGGCATAGACAGCAAAACTGTGTTCCAAATTTAGACTAACATGCTTTCATACCCATAGAACAATTGCTAAAAATTTAATCTACTACTTTCTTTGGGTGTTACCTTGATTCTACCACCACTCAAAGTCTCACTAAGCCGCAGACGTGCATCTACTGTTCTTTTGATATCTCTCTGGAGGCGCCGTCCAAAATCCCTGAACATTGTAGATCCACCTGACAGTACAATGTTGTTGTACAGCGGCCTCCTAACGTCAATTGGACAATTCTGTATCACTGTATCCACAATCTCTGATATTGGAGTAGTGAAATCTGGATTTGAGAACTGAAAATAATATTATCATTGTACATCAGATGCAATAAATTATCATGATTAATGATGACATTCAGAACACATCTATGGAATAAAATTATTTACTATAGTATGCCATATGTATCAATGATCTGATCAAACAAACATCTGTTTAGGAAATAAATTAAGTTATAATGAGCATGTTCAGTGTTAATTACATATCACGGACACATTTAGCTTCATTGCAAAAAGAAAGACAAAAGAGGAATTACAGTTATATACAAAAATTCTTAAGGAATGCAAGCAAATTTTTAATACATCATTTTGGCCAAGTCATAAATTCATAGTGCAAAAAGCATCTTACACTGCAACATCATCGCACAACTTCATGAGAATTATAACTCTATGGAGCAGAGCCCTTATTGTAAAGCTGATTGCTGTTCAGCTGGACAAACTTTTTGTGGTACACAAAGATCCATTACCATTTTCACAAGAGCCTGCCACTGAATTCTACACTAAGCCAACTGGATCAACTACCCAATCTTTTTAAAGTATGTGTAAATTGATCACAAAGAAAAATTAATAAGGGCAGTGAATTAAACATGTTAATAACTGCTAACTTCAAACATCTCTTCGTAAATATGTGTGTATTTTTTTTTACATTTGTGCATCAAAACTTCATGCTTATATTCATACCTCAGGATGAAAAAAAATTTCTGGTCCCAAAAATCGTTCATAACCAACATCCACTACAAATGGTGTCTTCGTGACAGAGTTAACACCATCAAATTTCTTCATCCACTTTGAAGAATCAGAATCATACTTTGCAAATTCTTTTGCAATATCTGGACATATGTAACAAAACCTTTCCTTTATAGCTTTCGCTGTTTCCAGGGACTGCTCTGGAGGAATACCAATTTCTCGTTCTCTTAGAAGTGACTGGATGAAGTAAGTTATGTTACGGCCTGCTATCGGAATATGTTTGATGCAACTGCCAATCACATAACCATCTGCCTGAAAATAGTTCATAAATAAAAGCAGACTAGTAGTACAACTCCCTGAACCCTGAGTTCCCATGTTTATATATATATTAAGGTTTGGATCATATACTGTTTAGAAAATAATTATGAATCCCATGTTTGGTGCTTTGCCTACAGCATGTCAACTTTGACCAAACTTAGTGGATACTTTAAACATCTGTCGCAAAGGCTGATTCATTACAATGCACTCTTGTTGGACACTCCATTTTTAGAGTGTATTTAACATACAGAATAGGAAAAAAATTGGTTCTATTCTCATCTTCAGAGACTCATTAGCATATTGAAAGATATTTTTGTTCTTTTCATGGTCAATTTTAGTGGTAGAAGTCAAAACTGAACCTGATATCCTATGCTAAACACTGGTAGTTGTCTCTAGTAGGTACACTAAAAAATCACTGCAATAAATTCTAATAAACATAGATTGTCAAGACAATAAAATATTTTATTATAGCAGCGTTAAAATTTGTAACAAATCTTGCAATTGTCATATTTAAGTACCACATCTGTGTGAATCAAAAGAACACCATTCACGTCTAAAAATGATATGCCAAACTCTGCACACAGTACAGTATTCTTTATTTAAGAATCATAAATGATACAGCTTGGATCATTATGAAAACCATAATTAGACATGATACAAGACGACAACAACAACCAAACAGTCTGATAAGACCATTATTTCATTCATGCTCAAGACCTCTGTATCCCAGGCACACTGAATTGCTAAACCGCTACTTCCAAAAACAGACTCATAGGCCCTTTTCATATGGTTGTAACTCCACGATAACATAAACACAGTTTCCAGTTCATAATATACCACTTAAACTAGGAAACTGACGGTTAAAGCTAATTGCGGCTTTTAAGCTAATTTATGATCCTAATATATAAACATACAGATAAAATAACACACATAGTATAAATAAGTTAATCATCAACAACACAGACTTCATACATTTCCTTCACTAAAGCTTTGTACTAAGTGTAATTTTGTTTTTATTTCCACACATGTGCACAAAATTATGTTGTGTAAACATTAAAAACTATAAGTATGACACTTTTAGTGTTGGACACTAAACAGAATATCAAAAATTTACTTACAACAGGAATAACATGAGTAACTCCATCTCCACTGTCAACTACTATTCCAGTAAGAGTGCGTTCGCCGACTGATCGTGATGCCCAGGACGCAGCCAATGCCAGGACAGCCTGGACAGCAATATACAAGCCAGGAACGTTGAATGATTCAAACATTATCTCTGAAACAAAATGGGTATAACTTTATAAGCATTCATTAGTGCATTTCTATCAAAAACATGTCGCTATATGACTGACAAACTCAGCCATTATAACAGTAAAGAATAACAGCTAAATCTATATTTGTTGTCATTCTGTTTCAAGACAACACCCATAATGTCACTCAAATATTGGTCAGTGTTATTTACTCAACACAACAAAATTACAGTCAAGCAAAGATATATTTGTTTCAGGTTAAATATAATGGTACAAGCAAATTTGCACACACCTATAAAGAAGATTATATTGGATTTAATGACCTAGATTTACAAATTTTACACTATGGACACAAAGGAAAAACATGAAAAACAGTAAGAAAGACAATCATCACAAGTACACGTCAATGCCATATGTAGGACTCAAACTTCATGTTCAGCAGTCTTTTTCCAGTATCAGTTCCAATGGCTATTCAAGAGGTTTAAAACCTACAATGTTATCTGTAAAGAGGATATATTCTAACCTGCAGTGTATTCACGGTTCTCTGGCGTGTTGAGAGGTGGCTCTGTAAGCAAGAAATAGTGATCCTCTGGCTCTGCACGAAGATACTTAAATATGCACTGCTCAAGAAACCTCTCCATAAGGTCCCAATCTTCAACCAAACCATGTCGCACAGGGTACTGGAAATAAAATGCAACAGATGTTAGAAATAATAATGCTGGATAACCATCAAGTAGTCTGAACTCTTAAAAAAAGATACTTAAATTGTCAGCATTTTCTGAATATTGCACTAGTGGAATCTGCAAAGTATTTCATGACATTCTGCTAAAAACCTGTAGAAATGAACAAGTCACTTTAAAATAAAATATGTAGCTTGTATTCAGAATTTCTATAATTAATCCCATCAATAACATTTTTATACTGATTTCCTTAGTTCCATTAGGTGCACATTCCTTACTCAGATAAATGGTGGGCATCATTCAAAATAAGCACACAGAATTTCAAAATGCATGTTCATATACAGGTAAACCTCGATTTACACCGGGGATGCGTTCCTGGACAAACCGGCGTAAATGGAATCGGCGTAAATTGAAACTTTTTTTAATGAAAATCAATGGGAAGTCAATGACATGCGTTACCGGCACCCAAACACTGACGACTTAAGTTCCTCAAATATTGACTTTGCCTTATCCTTGATAGCAATTTCAGTCAAGAGAATGTTTTTTCGATTCATGTCATCCACCCATAGCAACAGTAATTTCTCCATTCTTTCTAATAGTTTACTTCTGCGATAACTCACTTGCGTTGCACTTACTCTCGTAGCCTTGTTTTATTTTATATGAATTTATCATTATGGTAGTCACAGTGGGAGGCAAATTCATACTTCTGCACATATTACGAAGGGTATCACCACCTTCTATTCTACGAATTACGTCCATCTTATCTTCTAACGCAATAGACCTATGCAACTGTTTAGCAGCACATCCACTTCTCTTACCAGACATGGTGGCTCTTCTACAATTTATAAATATAAAACAGCTGCTACTGCAGAATAGTGGTCGAACAACAACACAAACACGTTTAGCACACAGTTTTCAGCACATTCAATGTGTCAACAAGAAGCGAACTGAGCACATTTTTCCTTACTCCCTTATCAGGCTGAATGCAAATGACTCACTGTGAAGAGTGACCAATGCTCACGTGACTGTTGCGCAATATTGGCAGATTTTTAGGAGATTATCTCACAACTACTTAGAAATGAGTGCAGAGGTGACTGTATTTATAATTTTTATTCAAAATCAGCGATGTAAGAATTACGATTTAGTATAAGAATCAGTGCAAGAAACATTGTAAAATGTTATAAATAACAGTAAAATATATTTTTTCCACTTTCTGACTTGCTGGTTTCAAAAGCAGTGTTATTCTGAATCAGCACAAATTGAGGTTTACCTGTACTTTTATATATTTGTTTGCTGTGACTTTAACATGAACTAAATAAAACTATGAAATGGTATAACTCATGTGTTCCAACATTTTTTATTACATGAAAATGTCACACATGTACTGGGCTGTTTACTGATGAGGTTTAATAATTTTAACACTGTAAGTTGTATCATCTCACCCAAAGAAATACTAAAATGCTATGTGAAATTAACAGTTATTAGACATTCTGCCAATATAACATGGTTTACTGGGTTGTGACCCAGAAGACTACAACAGACAAAAAAAGACTTACTTTTACAGCATAACCCGTAGCATCAAATGCCTCATCTCCTATGAAAAAATCCAGGTCTTCAACACCTTTAGTCAATCTACGTATTGCTTGATCTCCAACTTTTGCAAACTCTTTGATGGCAATTGCAGATGGGATGATAAACTGAGGTTCCTTGTTTGCTGCAAATCCAAGCTTTGTATATCTGACAATAAGAAGATATTATTTTCAACACTATCTACCAAAATTTAAATCACTGGACACTCACTGTTTATCTGATTAATTTTCAAAAGGTAAATGAATCAATCTTCTTTAGCAGGGATAAGTTCCACAACTGCTGTCGATTAGAAGAGAATACAGAAAAATGGGAGTTTTGTATGTAAAGCAGATCATAGATTTCACATTCTCACAGCAGTATGAAGATGGCTGTCTTCTGGGTTGCTACACCATGTACTACCATGTATTCTGGTACAAGTTAACTGACATTTCAGAGGTGCTTGCTACCTACATCTTGCCTTGATGATGTAACATCAGTATACTTCTACCAGATCAGCACATCATGTTTTGCCAGCATCTTTTCTTAATAAGTTTGAGATCACTTTAGTAACATTATAATTAGACTTGCATTTGTTCCATGTATGTTACATAATCATAGAAAAATAATTGAAAATGTGTTTAGATGAAGTTTACATCTCGGACGGACAAAATATTCTTTATACACAATTGTAATAGCTTATAGGTATTTTATTTGTAATATGCCACGTTCTAAATCCTTGGATTGGGCCTATAGATCTACAGAACGTAAATAAATTCTATTCTATTCTGACATAGAAAAGATTAAGAAATTGTAAGTCATATCTTGAATCCTTCTAACAGCATGTATATGAATGCTTACTCAAAAATAAACTACGGTAACACAACTTCCCATCCGAGAGTAGAGTACCGAATGAAAACTGTTCCACGCATTTACATGCTACTAATAGGAAATTCTCCGGCATTTGCATTATAAAAGAAGTAATAACCTTACCCAGTTCCCACATCAATTACACAGGCAGGTAATCTTCCAGCCATGTTTGAATAAATTCCTTTCAGTAGGAAATATAATTTACAAAATAATTAATAGTACCATGCACCACACCTTTACTCATACATGTCACTACCAATGCGAACACCATTCGGGCGTGTCAATATACACAGTAATACCAACTCAACACAAAATATCAGCATAGAGAATAGATTAATACATGCAGATTGTCCAACACTGCAGTTTTCTATAGTTTGACAATTCCCAAGAAAATGTGAAGGTTAAGATTTTGTAGTTTTGTTATGGAAAATCAATATCTCCTGCTGCAAACGACAATATTTTTTATATTCGTTTGCAATTCTCTACATATGCCACTCGTTCCAAAGTACAAGCAATATCGAATGTTACTGTCACATTGGCAACACAACCATACACGATTCTTACATTGACTCCTAGCGCTACCATCTTATTTCGGCGGATATGACTCACAATCAGCAATAACAGAAGAAAGTGAGAAAAGGTTATCTATGACGCACAATTTTTGAAATTTTGTGGTAGACGTTAACACGTGACAACATTTTATTATATTACCCGGCCCGACCCAAAAGTTTATCTTCAGATATGTTTTAAGGAGCCCGAATGAAGCACCGTCTACTTACAATTTGCTTGACATATATTTTATTGCATAAATGCCAGTAATCCATGAAAGAATTAGGTGAAAGCATTCTAAAAACATCCCATATTATTTTAGTATCAACTGTGATTTTGGTGTTTAGGGGAACAATACAAAGATGTCAGGTTTTAAGTTTTTAAGGAATTACCTCAAACTATTATTGGGAGAGAACTATGAAACTCAGCCAGTGTCAGTGGGCCTGTCACTCACTACTCACCAATGCACAATTTAAAGACATAGAAACCTCCCACATGGGAGGAGGCCAAGGCTCAACTTCGAGCTGTTGCGCCATAGAAGAAGAAGAAGCTACAAGACCCCCCCACCCTGAGATAATCAAATAGGTGGGATTTGTTTTCTGAGCCTGACTGTGTCACAAGTGCAACTACAGAGTGGCCATAAAGTCTGGAAAAATAGGCAGTATCAGCTAAATGTGTTTGTCTTTCGTCAAGGACATCTTCAATCTGTAAAGAAATAACAATATTATCTATATTTACAAAAATGAATGGCCCAAAATTTTCTAACCCTTTGTAAGATTTGAGGTTTTCACAACGGTGATTATGAAGATTTCTGTCTTCTGGGTTGTTGCGCTGTGTAGTCTGGTCGATGTTAACCAATGTTTCAGAGGTCATACTGCCTCCGTCATCAGGGCGATGATTGCGGAGGCAGTATGACCTCTGAAATGTTGGTTAACATCGACCAGACTATACAGCACAACAACCCAGAAGACAGAAATGTTTCTAACCCTTGTTTGTTTACTATAATTTGAACCAGGCCGGAATTCAGCCCAGATTTGAACATTATCTGTGATATCAAGCCCTGACCCAGTCCTTGGGCTGAGGCCTGGGTCTGTACAGACTTCTAATTTATGGTTCTCAAATATGGCGCATACAATGTGAGAACCAAAGATGTTATATAGCAGTGTTATTAATTAGATTCAGTCCATAGCTAAGAATGTCTTATAAGAACAGAATCTACACATTTTATATAATTTTCAGAACAAGGCCACAAACTCAGATCCATAATTATATAGAACATCCAAAATAGGTTTATTATATCAGTTTGCCATTTAATAAACACTTTATTCAGAATGTTATGTTGTAGTTATAATATACAAATTATGAATTTATATCTAACACAAAAATGTCAAGATAAACCATTCTGTGCCCCGGCTTGTTTGTAAAAGTGTCAAAATGAGGTAAACAGTTTACTGTGATTGGTTGTGGTATTGAAATCCTTAAAAAATTTACATGTTTTCAATTCTGGTCATGATCCCACTTATGTTTAAAAGTAATTGAAGTATTTGAAGTTTGACCTACGTATTGTGTAAGATGTTATACTACTTAAATTTATAGTTATGTGGCAGAAAACACTAGAGAATGATTAAATGGTGTATAATAAAGAGACTTCACATTTACATATAGCAAATATAACACAAATATTAATTTCACACTAAATTATTGTTGTTAAGTAAATTTTCTCAATACATACCCATCAGAACAATTCATATTATGAAGATATGTTTGTAACATGTTTTATGACCAATTAAGCTATATAAAAATATATATATGTCTGTGTGTGTGTGTGTCCGTTAGCTCCTCATTGCAGCACAATGTGATTGATACATGCTCTAGTTAACTTACCCATTGACGAGTGGAACTTAAATAATTTCATAAAAGCAAGACCTTCATAATAAGATGAATCACAGAATCAGCATTCAACTTTTTGTTTTAACGTCAAAATATAATACGAGCTTTAAACAACTGTCTACGCATGTCCATATATTGGTACCCCACGGTTGACTTCATGTGGAATTATACGAGGAACCATACTGAAATGGGAAACAATTATTATTTACATATATATATATGAAGGTATACACACAAATACATAAAAATCATACAAATAAACAAGGATTATATCCTTGAAAGATGAAGTAAGGAGTACAGAAAGAAGAAAATACTTGTACATAAAGAAAATGAAGTTCATCTATGATAACATAGCTACCTTGTCCTTCTCAGATCTATTTTCTAAACATGATATATTTATTAATTCCTAAGCACATGTTGGCTACCTGATACAGTCGATTATAGGACACACAGATAGGCAGAGAGTACAGCCTGTGCAGTCGTCTGTCACTGTTGGAATGTGTGTTTCTGGGTCAAAGGTGATAGCTTGGTATCCAGAATCATTGCATGCCATGTAGCATTTCCCACAGTTAATACACAAGTCCTGAAAACCAAATATGAAGTGACATCAGTGTTCAGACACAGAAATTGAATGATTAAGTTGGTGTCACTGCTAAGAAACTCTCATTACTGGTTTTACAGTACTTCTATTTAAGCTATATAAAATGTTACATTAAAATTGTAGTAACTGACCACAGAACAGAGTTATTTATTACAAAACTAATAGCTGCTCAGCTGGTCAATCAATGTTTTCCATTCAGGAATAGGGGGTTTATGCATGTGCACACCACTTGTCTACTGGGCCACCTATGTCACAAGTACTTAACTTTCATGTATGGTAGATTCAAATGGCTTAAAACGTGGTTCAGTAAACACATTGAACATGGTAATAAACCTTCAAGTTCCACAAAAACAGGGCATTTATTGACCAGCTGTGTAACTATTAAATGTGATAAGTGTCTTCAAAAGAAGCAATTTCAAGAATGTTTTTTTTATATACTTACATCATCTATTACTGCCACAACTTGTTGTCCATTATCAAGTCTCATAAATGGTCCAATCTTTGGTAGTGCTCGACCTATGATATCTTTTACTGCAGGAACCTTTGTTGTGGGTTTATGATAACTTCTCAGTGGAGGTTTCAGATTTTCAGCCAGTAAATCTGTTTGCTTTTTCAATTCTGAAATTGTCTCTTCTCTCTGCCTTTGGTAGGGCCCAAAATATGGCCATTTCTGAAAGCAAAAACAAGTATCATCTCTTATTTCTTGAATCATTAAGTAGCAAAGAAAGTCTTTGTTCCAGTGACACAACCCATTTGCTACCTTTTCCTGTTCTATACAATCAATGTTCCCTAAAAATGTAATTCTGTACATAAACAAAACAAAGAATCCCTTCACTAATAACTTCCTCATTAAAAATGTAGCTGACTCAGTATTATGATGCTTTCCCAACAGTTTTATATAACTAAAAGGAAGTCAATAAAAGTAACTTGCCAATATATCTGCCATCACAACTAAAATACTGCATTATGCAAGGAATATCATGCTGACAGAGCTCTGAAGATGGAGACAGTATGTTTCTCTGAAACATTGGTATCTATTTATGAGTCCATATGGCATCACAACCCAGAACAACACCATCAGTCGGCTTCACACTTGTTAGCATGAGAACCTGAAATCTCGCTATTCTTTCACTGGCAATAATACCTTACAAATAATCATGTGGGAACCTTAAGATTGACAGATATTTATTTTTAGCTGTGTGCCATATTTTCATCATTATCTCATTATCACAATTTCACTTTATCTTTAGGCAACTGATTACAAAAAACAGGCCTCCACAATTGTGAATAGTGCTTATCTAAAAGTTATACTGGATTAAAACATCCTGGGACTTTGGCTATATCAAGTTTAAGACACCATTAAATAATAACAAAAAAAATCTCAATATGAAGTACAGTATAAATGGAAATACTCTTATAAATAATGCTGTTATAATTTTTAACTCTTATAAGCTGCACGCTGGGAGAGAGAATCTGGTACCTCATTTCTTAACTCCTGTAGGGCAATGATCATTTTTCCTCGTTGATGTTTAACCTTCGGTGGTGACTGCCCATCCCATCCTGTATGATGATCCAAACTCTCAAGATAAAGCAATGCTTTAAGCCCAGTAATGTAATCATCAATGAGAGTGAAATCCTGGTTCTGTATGGCACTTCCAATCTGTACATGATATGCAAGCAAATAAGCATATATTCATAGTCAGGCAACTGAGTAATTGTCAATTATTATAGATCTGCATGAGATACATATAATTGCTGAATACATTTCTTAATCCGAAGATATACCACTTAACAAACTCAGATAATGTGACATTTCTATATAAGTGAATTGCCACACCTAGCCCTCCATTCCCATATTTGCAAATAAGTATCACAAATAATGAATATCCAACTAAATTAATTTTTATATATTTTTTTAATTTACAATTTTACTGATTTTCTCTACTATATAGTCTTTTATAGTTTTGTTTATATTTCTATAATGATGTCAGAAACTTCCACTGTACTGTGTTGAATGATAATGTGAATAATCTAACTATAAGCCTGTATACCTGCAACACTGATGCACCACAATGCAAGAACTGCAAACTGACTTCAGCAGAGTCGATGCCCCCGATTCCCATGATAGCAAATCCTTTGAGCTCTTTAGCAATTGCTGAAACAGCACGTAACCCAACTGGCCTTGTTGCATTGCCTGACACACCACCATATGTGGTGAGCCTATTGGATCCAACTGAAGGCCATGGAGTTCCATCTGCTTTCAATCCCATTAATCCTGATATAGTGTTAATAGCAGAAACACCGTTAGCTCCACCTAGAACAAGAAAATATTTGTAATACTGTATTTTCATTAATTATATAATGAAAGACTACCTAAATTCCATATTATCAATTGCAAACTTGAACAGAAGTTTACCTATTTACAAAGGCCATAGATCTTATTCTCAAACTTTCTGACAGTAATTTTGCAGTTTATGAACAGGTATTATCTTCTTTTAAAAAAAGAAAGAAAGAAAACAGAGGTTTACAATCACTTTGCTGTGTATCCCACAACCTTCTGCCCTTTCAAAGTTCTCAGTGTATTCTATTTCCATTTGGAGCCATTATGATAAGTAACAGACTTTCTGGTAATGGAATCTAACACTAAAGCAAGCTACAGGGAACTACCCTGAACCAGATGAGTCTTTATAATATCACAACCTATTTTTTTTAAGTTTCTCTCGCAGCTTTTTCTCACTGTCTCAAGTGACCACATTCCAGTATGTTT